CCCACGGCCACCAGCCCTCCCCACTGGAAGTCCCTGGCCCATGTGGGGTTCCCCCCCACCCCTCTACTGCTCTGGGTAGCTTAGCTCTTCCCTCCCAAGCCCTTCTGTCACTTATTACCTGGACCTCACTGTCACAGTTCACCCCACTTGTCCCCCACATGCTTGTTTGGCACCTGCTTGGGCCAGGCCCGGGGCTCGGGGCTGGAGATGCACGGGGGATGAGACTTCAGTTTGCACAGATGCGTGGCCCTAGCATCTGACTGGGCCAGCGGGGCAGGGGGCAATCGGGACTCTGGGGACGAGGTCCGAGGTCAAGCTCATAGTCAGTGGGCATGGGCCACCTACATGCCCATGGTCACACACAGTGAGCAGGGCCATGGTAGGAGCATCCCTGGGAGCTGCTGGAGCCCAGTGGGGGATGGTCAGTCAGGGAGAACTTCCTGGAGAAAGTAACACTAAGGGAAGGTGCACAACTGTACCTCCAACCACTGTCCATGGTCCAGAGACTGGGCTTGAGTCCCCAGCCAGACAACCAAGATCATCCAAACCCCAGCCCATCCATAGACCCATAAAGAAGAGCAGTGAATATCTGGATTGGAAGTCGTTGAGATTTCAAGCACCCTCTCCTCTCCTCCTGACATGCTTCAGGAGTTACTGTCCCCTCCTCAGTCCCAGCACTTCTCCTTTTCCTCTGAGCCAAGCCCAAGGCAGAATCTACTCCTGGCCCTGGTCAGATGGGAAAGGCACTGATTACATGCCAGGCCGTGAACCTCTCTCCCATCCATCTATGTACCTTTCAGGGCCATGTCCTTCTCTGTCCTGCTGGGTCACCACTGGGCCTAAGTGCCCCGGCCTGAGCCCCTACTTAGCCCTGGGAGCCGGTGGGTCGATTAGAGCTGGGGGACATGGCAGGGCAAGGGGACTTGGGCACAAAGGTGGCCATGGGTACTGGAGGCCAGGAGCCTGGATCCTCAGCCTGGTCCCTATACATGCCTACCAGGCAGTTTTCAGGACGAGGAAGGCAGCAGTGCAGGGCCCCTCCTATCTTTAAAATGGAGTCAAGGGGCTCCTGGGTGGCTCAGTCGGTTAAGCGTCTGCCTTCGGCTCAGGTCATGATCCCAGGGTCTAGGATCGAGTCCCATGTCGGGCTCCTTGCTCAGCGGGGAGTCTGCTTCTCCCTCTGCGTGCCACTCCCTCTGCTTGTGCTCTCTCTCTGACAAATAAATAAATAAAATCTTAAAGAAAAAAAAGGAAATAAAATGGAGTCAAAAGTGTCTGTCACTTGGCAGGGCTACGGTGAGGTACAGAACATGTACTTGAAACCAAAAAGTGCCATTCAACCATCATCGTTCTCTAAACCTCAGTTTTCCTAGATGTAAAATGGGTAGAATTTTATTTATGTCCTTCCCAGGACTCTGGTGAGTCCATCACAAGGTAACGTGTGGGAAAGTGCTGCATTCAGGAACTAGCGCTGAGTGCGGCTTTGGGCTCTCTGGGCCAGTCCCCTGGGCCAGGCAGACACGGCTGCTTGCCGGGCGTTCCCGGGCTGTCTGCCCCGCTGCCGGTCTGGGGCAGAAACCCTACTGCATCTGCTTCCAGAGTGGGCCAACTGCTTCCTCGGAGGACGGCAGCATGCGCTTGCCCTGCTGACCACCTCCATCCACCCTCGTCTGCCCCGCTCGCCCTGAGGTCAGGCAGGTGGCTGGGCAAGCCGGGCCCTTCCCTCAGGGCCGATGGACCCGTTAGGCCCGGTACCTCGGGCACAGGATACTTTTAGGGGCCCGCAAAATACTTTTCATTTCTTTTAAAATCAGAAGTAAGAGATGAATTTCTAGGTTGGAAAAAAAAGTTTTAATAAGTAATGTGAATATGTTTGTCTTCATCCCCACGTGGTCATCAAATACATTTTTATTTTATTTGAAGGACGAGGGCCTACGAAGACCTGGGTGCCCGGGGCCCACAGAAGTCCTAACACCGCCCCGAGTCCATGGTATCTATTCTGCTCCGCACTCAAGCTGCTTCCTGGAGCCCCTCCCCCATTGGGAATGTGCCGGCCAGCCTCAGTTCACTTAGGATGGCAAATCCCAGTACGGCCTTCCCTTGCTATGCGAAAGTAGAGCGTTCCTACGTTCCTATGAGACCTTGCAGAGGCTTGCATGCCATAAAGTGAAGAAGCAATTGCCATTAATTTATATGGAAAAGTTCTGAGCCTTCCCAGACCCCCAAAATAATGTCTCTTAAGCTTTTCAGGTGCCTTAGGACACATCTTGTGGAGGGATGGGTGAAATTGGTGGGGCTAAGGCACAGATGCTCCCAGACACAGCTCAGAGCTCTGGCGGTTGATGCTGAGTTGCTGCCTGTGGTTCCCGGGGAAGGAGCCCGGCGGCTCCGCGCTCCCTGCTCCCTGCCCGGGGCACCCCTGCCTCTCTACTGACTCTCCGTAAGGCTCTTCGTGCTTATCCTTGAGCTAGTCCCTGGAGTAAGGGATGGCGGCCTTAAATACCTTTTCTCCCACTCCCCACAGAGGGTATGGCCCCTGTCCCCCCCGCCGGTAAGAAGAGGCGCTCCCTGAGGCCAGAATTCTGAAAATGTTGGTGTATACATAGGGGTGTCCTCTTTCCGTGTATAGTTTGAGAGGTCCCCAGGCAATTCGGATACTGACTGCCGGGCTCGGAAGCCTCCCTGAGAGCATCTCGCTCGCCTCCCCCCACCTTGAGAACCTCTGGCGTGGTGGAGATCCCAGGGGACAGTTGGCACACGTTACAACGGATCCTTTTACATAACAGCGCCGAACTTTGCAGCACAGCTTTTTCGGCCCACCCCACCCAAATCCCTTGATTTCATCACGCGCCTCCATTCCACTGACGCCGAGGCGAGCACGCCGGCGGCCCGTGCGGTCCCAGCGGGCAGCTTCTGTCTGGCCGCTGCCCCGGTGCCTCCCGGGGGCCTGGCTCTGCAGCGGGCAGCGGGGAGAGGCCGCCCAGGACACGCTCGCCTTCTGGGCTAGGGGAAGGGCCACCTGGCGCTCACACTGACCAGCCCTGGGCTTTGGGTCAGTCAGGTCATCTCTCTGACCCTTAGCTTTGTCCTCTGTAAAATGGGGATCAAAGATACCCACCTACTTCGTCCAACCCCCTGCGACACTGCACGGAGGGCCCTGAGCCCCTGGGAGCTGCGGGGAAGACAGACCGTTAATATTAAGGCATAGCCACTTTTCCCCCCTCTCAGTTTCTTCTTTTCCTGCTCTTTACCTTGGCACATAAAAGGCCCTTATCAGTCCTGTGTGTGTGTGTGTGTGTGTGTGCGTGCGCGCGCGCGCGCGCACGCGCGCATGCGTCCTAGCTTATTCATCCGAAATTGTCTTCCCCTCCCTCCCTCCTACACACCCCAGGATAAATGGAACCTACCCTCAGGAGGACAGATAACACACATCCACAGAGAGGGTGGTGAAATGCAGGATTGAAACATTATTTGGATGATGTGTTTCATAGTTTCAATAACTTAGAAGCTTCTGGAACCAGGACTAAATCACCCAGAAAAAGCTCCTCTCCCTTTCTGTGAACAGTGTTTGGTAAGATTTCCCCACCCTCTCTCCCATCTCCAAAATGCCTTTTGCTCTGATCTCCACGTTCTGCTTCTACACCTTTGCATGTTTGTAAACTGCATTTTTGTAGAAACTTTGGTTTGACAAATGCCTCAATTGTTTCATTAAAATGTTATCTCCCTCTACCAATCTGTGCACTTCTGGCTGTCCCTGCACAGTTTCATGTGACTCAGTAACAGGCAGTGACCAATCTCAGCACGCCCTCGCCAGGCTCCTGGGCTGGGCCGGCCGCCGTCTTGACCAGGCCAGGGACTCGGGAAGGGGGGTGGACACTCTTGTCGCCGCCCCAAAGAGCTGAAAGACTGGCAAGTTCTAGTCAGAGAGAACCCCTGAGGGGGATCTGTTACCAGGAGGCAGTGTCCCCAGTGTCTTGCCATGGGAGGGATTGTGCAAAACAAGGGACATGTCATCACAGGAAAATAAATCACTGGGCCCCTTTGGGCCCCTTTGGGCCCCTTTGATGAAAGACTGGTTTGACCCACTGGGATTGGACAGCCACTTGCTGCTGACTTTTAGAAGCTTCTGGGCCCAAGTCTCTGTCTTTCTAAAGTAAGTCCTTGCCAAATGTTCCAGTGATATTTCTAAGGAAGGGGTAGGTTTGGGGGGTGGGGTGGTTAAGCACGCAGCAAACCACATCTTTAGTGCAAAAGCTATTTTCTGCAGGACCGGCCCGATCCCATGCCTTCGGCTAGGCCACAGTTGCCAGCTTGGGGAGGTGGGGGGCCCAAGTGTCTTCCACCCACGTTCTCTGGACCACTCCTTCACAGCCTTCCCCAGGCCCCAGACCATGCCCCTGCTCTCCAAGACGGCCAGACCGTGGGAAATCTCATTAGCTCCTTGCCTGGCCAGGGGCTCCTTGGAGGTCTCTGCCAGCACACTGGTGGAGACCACAGAAGACTTTGGGAAAGATTTCCTTTGCCAAACAAACAGACAACACGGATCCGGGGCGTTTTTGGTTTTTGGTGTTTATTTTTTAAACCCACTTGTAGTCTGGGTTCAGCTGGAAAGCAGGACATACTGAGGGAGGGAACGTGGTCGCGTGAGGAGGATTCTGCTGCGGCTGTGGCGGGAAGGCCCAGGCCCCTTCTCCAGGGAGGCAGGTCCCGTCGCCAGGCTCCCAGCTGGCTCAGGCGAGGTGGGCAGTCCTTGTCGCCAGCGTCCCGACCAGAGGAGCGGTCTCCTCTGCGATCTGCATCCTCAGAGGCCCGGGCAGAGGGCCCCACAAGGCGCCAGCAGCTGAGGCACAGGACTCCGCGGGCAGGTCCTGAGAGTCTGTCACACGAGGAACACTGGCCGGGTTCTGATGCCAGAGACTGGAACGTGGCGTCTGGGGCGGCCCCATGGGGCTGCTCCTCGCGGTGGCCTGGCTGGCGGGGTCCCCGCCCCTGCAGCTGCCCAGGGCGTGATCAGTGGTACATTTCCCACACAACCCCCCCATCCCTCAGAGAAAATAAAATAAAATAAAAATTAGAATAAATACCGACTCGGCCAACATTTACATTTACATGGATGGACAGGGCGATCCCTAAACCTCGAAGGTTTACAGACTGATCGAGGAAGGACGAACAGACGAAACTGGGCTTGGGGTGCATGTTCCCCACGGAGGATGGTGGGGTTCCCACCTTCTCCGGGGGAGGTTAGGAGCCTTCTTGGGGCTGCGGTCCCAGCGCTCAGGCAAACCCACGAGGCCAAGGGGAGCAGGGCTGTGGTGAGCGGGCTGGCCGCCTGAGAGGAAAGCAAGGACTATCTGGTCTTGACTGGGAGGGGGCACAGACCGAGACAGGATCAACATCAGATGGCCGGACTTCGCCTCTTCACTGCGCCAAGAAAGCCGCGGGGTGAGTAGGGAAAACAACGCAAGCCTTAGAAATGCAATATCCAGTTTTGCCTCCCATCAAATACATTCAGAGGTCAACTTGGATATGGCCTTTCTCACTCAGCAGAAGGGGGGTCTGGCCTGGGGAGGGACTAGGGGTCTGAGGGGCGCCCACTTCTGCTCCCTGGTTCCTGTCTCCCTTGGGAGGCGGCCTCAGAGTCACAGATTTTAATGCTTTACTGTTTTTTACTGTTACTTCCTTAAAAAAAATTTTTTTTTTAAATGTTTTCCTTCCATGTCTCAAAGAGTAGCAGCAACCTGCATTTAGAAAAACAGCTTACATTGTTATTTGGATTGGCCAGGAAGCACTTTCAAGCAATGGGATAAACTAGGCAAACCATATGTCTGGAGCCACCGTGACACGACACGTAATTAAAAATATATTTATATATGTATACATATTTATATCTTACTTCTTCATACTCTGGTCCTAACAGTCGAGGAGGGGTGGCCCTGAGGCAAAACCACCAAGGAGGCCGTTAGGAGGAAGGGGCATTAGGAGGAAGGGGCATGAGGCCCATGGCGCCCACCATACCACCGGCCTCGGCTTTGCAGGGAACATCAGCCCCTGCGTGCTCGCTCTCGGCTTCATGGACCGGGCAGGAGGCCCTGTTCCCCTGGGTCATTCCCTTCCTCTGGGGCCCTGCTTTGTTCTCAGCAGACGTGCTCACACGCGCGCGCGCACACACACACACACGCGCACACACACACACATGCACGCACGCCTCGCACTCGCACTCACACTCAAGGGGAGCTAGGCCCATTTCAGCCCAGACGCAGCTCTCTGAGGGCTGCCTGGGGGCGGCTCCGTGCCCGGCGGAGGCTGCTTGACTCCTCCAGACCACGAGGTCCCCGGTGCCCTCTCTGAGCCCTCCAACCTCAGTCCAGCTCTTCCCTCGGGGCCTCCCGTGGGGTCCCTGGTGTCCCTGGGCCCCAGGCTGGGCTGAAGGTGCCTGCTGAAGAGGAAAGGCAGTGAGGAGAAGCTCAAGGAGGGGAGGAGGCGAAGGCCAGGGGCCGAGGCTACAGACCCATTCCAGGTAAACCTGTGTCCCCCACACATGTCCCCAATACGCTCTGCCTTGGGACCAGCATAGGCTCCTATCCCGGGGCTGGAAGGTGGGTGGCAGCTGGTGGGGAAAGCCAGGGAGTACCGGGGGACCCGCTCCCCCCGCCCCACCCTGCCTGCTCCCCCAGAAGCGGAGTCCACAGAGGAAAACCTCCAGCCCTCAACCCCTGGCCAGCCTGAGTGGACCAGGCAGCCAAGGCCCTCCAGTGACCCAGGGAACCCAGAAGCTGCTGGGCTCTGAGGTGGTTTAATGGGGGCTTATCAAAGTGCGGGCTCCAGACCCCAGAGCTGGGGCCGGGCAGATGCCTGTGACAACCCCAAAGCCAGCTTCCTAGAGCCTGACTTGCATTCTCCTCCAACAGAGAAGGGGCTCTCCCCAGGACCTGGCCCTTCCAAGAAACCCCAGTCTCGCTCCTTCCAGGCCTGGAAAGATGCGTCGGCCCCGCCTGCTCATTTCACTGTTCTACTCACGACTCAGTGAATGCACCGCCCCCCCCAGCCCCGGGGGCCGCAGTGCCCAGAGCCCTCCTGGAGCGTACAGACCTTGGCTGTGGGGGGCCTCGGCTTCTGGATTCTGCCCGCGATGAGGCTGGGCCATCGACACAGCCCATTTAGCTAAGCTCCAAGTCCCGGGGAGCCAGGCAGCCCCCAGCGGCCACTTTCCCCCCACTAAGCTCGGGAGGAGACCTGTGTGTGGCTCAGGCGACATCACCTAGCGTTTTGGTTTGAATTTGCCCGTCTTGACTGCGCCCCATTCACGACAGCCGCCCCCCCCCCCCTTAGCCCCAGCCAGGATGGGATTTAACACACTCCTGGCGCCTGCCACAGCATCAGCCCCTTGACAGAGCAGAGCGGGAAGAAGAGAACAGAGGTCCTGGAAGCCAAGGGCTGCGGAGCACAGGGTTCCAGGGGGACCCCCCTCCGGGGCAGAAGTTTCCAATTACCCTAATTGGCCACTGGCAAGCTATCTGTGGCTAGAATCCTTCCAGAGGGGGCCGGGTTTGATCTTCCACTAATCAGGGGGTCCTCAGTGGTGCTGACTGTGTGATCACAGCTCGGACTCTTTTCATGGAGAGAGGAGACTTCAAAGCAGCTGACTTTTGAAAATAAAACAATAAAACACAAGAGCACGAGCAGAGCCGCACACCCCAGCTCCCCTCCCTGCACCCCGCCCCTGGGCCTGAGGCTGGGGGGCCACACGGAGGAGGAACGGGGAGTGGGGAGGGTGCAGCGTGCAGGTTAGAGGAGAAGCCTCCGTCCCCCAGGCCCCCAGGCCGAGCGTGGCGGACAAAGGCCGTCAATTACGGGCGGCTGGTGGGGACCGTGCCTGCTTTTGTCCTCCCGGACATCTGCTCTACGTCGCCTGCTGCCAGTTGGCGACCGCGGCTGACAGCAGGAACAATGCAAGCCCGTCTCCGACCCACTTTTTCAGCCTTCTGAGGTCCTTTCTGACCCAAGCGGTACCCCGGCGTGCCGAGCTGCCAGGGCCTCGGAGGAGTCACGCCGATGAAACTCCTCGCACAAAGCCCTGCGGGGACGCGGTTGATGGGAGGGGGCGGGGAGGAGCGGGAGTGGGGAGGGGACGACGGGGGCGGTGGGGGGGGCCACCATGAGAAAGAAACATGCTTCCCTTATTGGTGTGAGCTGCCGCATGCGTGGGGCTGGGGGGGCTCGGATGAGGGGCGCTCCTCCTTCCCGGTCTGGCTCCAGCCTGGCCCCCGGCTCTGCCTGCTTTCCTCCCCACTTCTTTCTCCCGCCAGGGCCACCCCTGTCCTCCCGCCTGTCCATCTGGCCCTGGGTACCAGGGCCCCAGCTGCCCGCGGGCCGCCCGCCAGGCCCCCTGGCCGTCAGGCTGTCAGTTTCTGGATGGTTCTGTTGTAGTACTGCGTGATGGGGGGCGTCAGAGGGTTCCAGCTGTTGGCATGGAGCTCTATGACCTCCAGAAGCAGTGACCGGGTCAGCATCGACTCTGAAGGGCAGAGCATCTTGTCGCGCGCACTGGCCAGGAGCTCGGTCATCATCTCGGGCAGCTGCTCCTCCAGCAGCCGGCCTGTGCTCTGCAGCTGCGGGTGGGGAAGCGGGGCTTAGGACAGGACCTGCGCCCCCGGAATGGCCCCCTGAGCCACCCTGGTTAGGAGGGCCGGGGGCAGGGACAGGAAAGAACTGGATTATCTCTGGAAGGTGCAGGCCAGGCATCTGTGCCCCAGGGAGGACAGGAGGTGGAAGGAGTCAACTGTGAAAGCCCACGTTGACCGACCAATCTGCCGCAGGAATAAGAGGGATTGGGTTATTGCCTGCTCCCTGGGGCTGAAAAGAGCCCTCACCGGGACCATGCCACTTCTGTCTTTCACCCAAGAAAGACTCACCCTCCTACTGGAAGCCTTGCCTGACCCCTGCCCAGACCCTCAATGGCTGACCTGCTCCCCTCAAAGGTGATCAGGCTGCACCGTGTTAATTTCCACTTGCTAGGATGTCTCTCTAGAAACGAGCTTGGTCATTATCACCTGCACGTCTCCGCATGGAACCTGAGAGCAGGGATGAGGTCTCCTATTTCTCTCCTGCCCCTAATCCCACCTCCCCACCCCAGCTGACCTCTGCCCACACTTGTGACATGAAGTGTGGGAGGGAAATATGAACCGGGGCAGAAGGTCAGCCAGAGGGCCCGCCCTCAAGAGAGGCCCCCGATGATGCTGAAAAGCCGCTGTAGGGAGGAAGGGGTCCCAGTGGTCTGGATCATGCAGCCTCAGGCAGTAGCCCCTGCGGGTCCTCTCCACAGTATCTCGATCTCCATCTCTGTCCCCACCCCATCTCATCCCACCCATTTTTCAAGGCTCTGCCTTCTTCATAAAGTCCTCATCGACCTCCCTGGACCACCCTGATCTCTCTCCTCTGACTCCTCAGGGATGCATGCTCTGTACCCATACTTCTTCTCTACACGGTGTTATCTATCCCCAGCCAGAGTGACAGCTGAGGGCAGGGACTAGGCTTTCTTCTCCCCTATGTCCCTGTCACCAAGTCCCATGTATGGTACCCAGATGGAGCCCCATAAATGAAGGGACCATCCCATAGACCTGAGGCTGTTGTCCTGACTCGCAGCACCTCTGGCCCCCGAGAGCCTTGGGAGTGGCCTGGAGGCCGGGCAGAAGCCACCTGAGAGGTGTGCTCACGCAGCCCTGACAGGCCCTGGGTGCTCACGCAGGAGACACCTGTCCTCACAGCCACTCTATTCTAAATGACTGCGCTGGTTTCCCAGAGCAAGGTTTGCCCCTGAGGAAGATCCCAGAGAAAGAGTTTCAATGAGTAGTGGCCCCACTTTGGGACCAGGAGTGGCGCCTCCTAAGTGGGTGTTTTGTAGCAGAGGGGTCCAACGTGGGACCTCAGGCCTCAGGCATCTTCCCCAAACTCTGCACCACCATAGCCAAGGGAGATATTTGGGGGTGGGGGTCACCTGGAATCTCTTAAGTCATTTATGTGGTGTGCCTAGTGCAAGGAGAAGGTGGCCTTGGGGACAGAAGGACAGTGCACAATGCCAGCACTTGGTCCTTCTCTCTAGAGAACCAGCCATCTCTTCCTCTAGCTAGTGGTGGGCTGGTTACCCCATCCACATTTACTCTGGTTTGGGGTTGATAATTCTGGATCCACGTTGGCTCAGGAAGCCATTCCCCACCAGCCCCGTCTACACACCCTTGCCTGGGACTTGTGGGTATGTCCGGTGATCCTTCACCGCCCACAACTGTTAGGCGTGAGGGGCACACCAGGTCTGAGGTCAGAGATGCTTACCTCCATCGAGCAGCACAGGACGGCGTCTTCTTTCACATCCTGAGATTGCAAAAGCTGTAGAAAAGAGAGGCAGAGAACACTCCTGAGGGGGCGGGCACGCCAGCTCCCAGGCCCCTGCCGCTGGACCCCAGCCCTAGCCCTGATGCAGCCTGGAACAGACATGTCGGAGGGGAGGGCTGGGGAGAGAGCCCACGAAGGTCAGAAGACAGGAGGAACACAGCGATTTCTCTGGCAGGATTTGAGCAGCTGGAGGACCACGGTGGTCATAGAGCCTGGGTGCGCTGGCCAGGTCAGAAGGCTCAGCCATGGTCTCAGGTGCTCCTGGGCCCTGGCTAGAGGAGGACTTCCAGAAATCATGGTGCTCTTCTGCAAAACCACGGCTGTGCTGACTTACCCAGAGGCTGGAACTGCTTCCTGACCAAGGCCGTGGCCAGGCTGCTTGGTGCTGGGACTGGCCATGCCCCCATCCAGGCTTCCCTCTGCCTCATCTCATTCCTTCTCTCTCTCAACTGAGATATAATTCACACAACATCCAATTCCCCATTTTTAAGTACGCAACTCAGTGACTTTCAATATATTCACAAGGTTGCACAACCATCAGCGTTACCTAACTCCAGAGCATTTTCATCCCCCCCAGCCCCTGGCAACCCTTAATCTCCTTTGTCTCTCTGGATTTGTCTATTCTGGATTTTTCACATAAATGGCATCACACAGCATGTGTCTTTTGTGACTGCCTTCTTCCATTAACAGAACTTTTTAAAAGATCACCCATGTGGTAGCATGTACCAGTCCTTTGTTCCCTTTTATGGCTGAGTAATATTCTGCTATATTGGAGAGACCACATTCTGTTTACACATTCATTAGCTGATAGACATATGGGCTGTTTCCCCCTTTTTGGCTATCATGAGTGATGCTGCTCTGATCGTGTACAGGTTTTTGTGTGAGCGCATGTACTCAGGTCTCTGGGGGTCCTTACCTCGGAGCGGAATTGCTCGGTCATGTTGAGCTTTCTGGGGACCAGCAAACTACAGTGGTTGTGCTATTCTGCATTTTCTCTAGCAATGTCTGAGGGTTCTGATTTTTCTACATCCTCACCAATATTTGCTATTTTCTGCTTTTTCATAAAATGTCTGTTTTTCCTAATTCCCAGTAGAAACTTTGAGGCACAGCTTCAGAGAAGCTCTACAGTCTTTTTTTTTTTTTTTTTTAAGATTTTATTTATTTATCTGAGAGAGAGAATGGGAGACAGAGAGCATGAGAGGGGGAGAGTCAGAGGGAGAAGCAGACTCCCCGTCGAGCAGGGAGCCCGATGCGGGACTCGATCCTGGGACTCCAGAATCATGACCTGAGCCAAAGGCAGTTGCTTAACCAACTGAGCCACCCAGGTGCCCCAGAAGCTCTACAGTCTTGTTCTTCACAAACCCCGTTGACCACCTCTCCCTCTGTCCCCTTGACTGGCCGGAGCTGCTTTTCCCAAACCCTTACGTACATGTCCACTGCCATCCCCCGCCACACTGACCATCACATCCCTAGGAGGACCCTGCATTTGGATTATCTGCCACGGATGACTCTTCCCTCTGCTGGAACTCTCCATACTTGCCCACCCTTCAAGGCCCACAGCTTTCCTTGGAGACCTCTGGATCACCCCAGGCCCTGGTGACCCCTCCTGCTTCTCACTCCCCAGCTTTCCCACCCGCTCAGCATTCCACACGAGTGAAAAGGCATTTTCCAGTGGGAACTGCTTGCTTCCTGAAGGCTGGGACAGTGCTGTGTTCCTATTTGCCACTTTAACACCTAGCCTGGCCCCTGACAACAGTAGGGATTCACTCAATGTTGGTCGATATGATTCATGCATTTTTGTTGTTGTTGTTTGTTAGTTTTAAAGGAAGGGTGGAGGGTGAGGAGAGCACAAGAGGAAGGCACTTTTAGGGTGAGTGTCCTCGTTCCCTGAACGAGAACTGGAGTCAAGGTTTTTGACGCGGGTGTGACGTGTTCAAGCAGAGGTGAAATCACAGGGGGACTATTCCTGCTGCCAGCTTGAAATCCGAATTGTGCACATCCTCACCTCTCCCCTTCTCCTGTCATGTTGCATCCATCCACCCAGCCCGGGGGCCCTCCCAGCAAGGGCCAGAAGCATTCACCTCAGGAGGGCTGAAGATTCAGGGCGAGCTTCGCTATGTGCCCGAGGGGCGTGTGGGGCATCGAGAGGCCACAAGAGGTCAGGGGACAGACAGGTCAGTCCTGGCTGCACTGGTCAGAGATGCTATCAGGGCCCAGGCCTCCTTCCCTGCCCTGCCCTCTCCCTGTATCTGTCAGAACTGGGCTGGCTAGCCACATAGAAGCCATTTTGGTATGAAGGAACAGAGGTAGTCCTTGACCTGCTCAAATGAAAAGCAGGCGGAGAGCAAGGGACAATCCAGGGGAGGGAAATGGTGCCACCAACACAAAGTGACAGGCATCGAGGCCACTGGCGTGCACGTTCTACTTACTGACATGGGCCTGAAGCCCAGCCTTTGTGCTCTCGTCACTGCCCTCTTCAGCCACCAGAGGCTCGGACCTTACTCGCTTGCTCTACTCAGGGCTTTGCCCAAATGTCACTGCACCAGCCAGGCTCCCCCACCGGCCTCTGTGACACCCACCAGCCCCGCTCACCTCCTGGCTTACTTCTTGCTGTCGCATAGCTCGCCCCTGACACATTATCTACTTGCTCGTCTGCTGTCTGTCCCCCACCCGGGAGAAGGCAAGCTCCACCACACCAGGGCAGGGCCTGTTTTGTCCCACTTCGAGGAATGTGTCCTACACATGGACCCAGACATGCCCCATGACACGGATACAAGGTTTTTGCTGCACAATCGTTACAGTAAGAGCAGCAAGGGGACTGGTTAGAGAATTACAATACGTAGGCATAGAGAGCACCCTGCAACACACTGCTGTCCCTCGCCTGCTCTACCCGGACCTGCTTCTGGAGTTTTCTTGTCTCCCGGAGCTGCAGACCCCCAAGGGGAGCCAGGGGAGCCTCCCACCAAGCCAGTGCCTGGTGGGCCTCTGGGAGGCACATGGGGAAGGGCATCCCTCATTTAGAGGACCCAAGAAGCTAGAGTGAAGACCAGGAACCAGGTTCTGGAGAAAGCTGGGGGAGGCGATTCACCTTGCAGCGGGCCTACCTACGGCATGTGGTCCCCACCCAACGCAGCCTGCTCGGGGAGGGGCTGGGGCACAGACTGGGAGGGGCCCCTGGCCATCTAGGATGGGGTCAGCGTGGGAAAGTGAGCCTAGCCCTGTTCACTCTGCAGGGGAGATCGGGACTCATCTAGAGTAGGAGAACCCTGTAAGGTTTGCTGGAATTTCTTTCTGAACATAACTGTTCCCTAATAGGTTTTCTGTAGCACTTACTGGGAAAAAAAAAAAAAGCCTTAAAAACTGCTAGTAGAAATGACAAGAGGTGCGCCTGGGCGGCTCAGTCGTTAAGCGTCTGCCTTCGGCTCAGGTCATCAACCCAGGGTCCTGGGATCGAGCCCCACATCGGGCTCCCTGCTCGGTGGGGAGCCTGCTTCTCCCTCTCCCACTCCCCTTGCTTGTGTTCCCTCTCTCGCTGTCTCTGTCAAATAAATAAATAAAATCTTAAAAAAAAAAAAAGAAATGACAAGGAAGGGGGGAATCTGGAAGAAAGGGAACTCTTGAAAGGGAACTCTTAGAGATGGAGTACGTACTAGCAGTTGGGTGGGGAGGGGGGACCAGGCCGAGTTGGCAGCTCGTGGGAAGAACAGGGTCCACTCTGGATGCATCTAGCACATCGGCTGACACACAGTAGGTGCTCAAGGGGGCTTGTCGTGGTAAGTTGAAATGCCCCTCAGATCATGTTCTGTCCTGAGATTAGCTTCTTAGGGGCTCTCGGGACAAGGGAGGTAACCTTATGGTAATACTGGTAGGAGTCAGGGCCTGACAAGTACTAGATGTTCTGAAAGGTGATGGTTTCTCCCTCCAAGCAGCCCCCTGAGCTGCTGACAGCACAGTGTGAAAAGCTTCCTTGAGCCTCCGTATTGTTGCCAGCCAAGCCCCCAGCTCTGGTGAGCAAGTGTCCCCTTCTTCCCATTCCCTCTAACCCCCCAAGCCTGGCCTGCCCTCTGCTTCCTGATGGAGGCTGGGAACTGCAGAGTGGGCTCTCTGTCTTTCTGCTCCTTCTCTTTCTTCCCCACATCCTTATGACTGGGCTACTTCCCTTCCAGTCCCTTCTCCTCTGTGTGCCCAAACTCCCAGGCTGCCTGGCTCTCTCCCTGGAGGCCCTGGCTCCTGGCTAGCCAGGCAGGGGACAGACACAGGGTGGGGTGCTCTGCAAGGCCAGGGTGGCTTGCCCAGGCGCTCAGGCAGAGCTGTGGGCGGGCTCCCAACCCCAGGCCTCCCCTCCAGCCTTATCTTCCACTTGGTTGTTTGGGAAAGTCTGTGCTAAGCCAACAATCACATCATGCGATAGGTCCTCTTGCAAATGGCTTGCTGGGTTTTCTCAGGGAAGCGGGGGAGGACTGGGGTGGGTCACTACACTTTTTGTTCAGAGTTGCTGGGTGCAGGGATGTGAAGGGAATCTGCCGGGAGGCCGCAGACCGCTTCCTGTTCCCCCTGCAAATGCTGTCCTGGACTCTCATGACCAGTGTTGGAGAGCAGCATCTCAGAGCCCTAGAGCTGAAGGGGCTTCGGAGAGTGTCCCCCTTAACTTCCCTGGACCCTAACTCCAGAGCATTTTCATCCCCCCCAGGCCCTGGCACCCCCTAATCTCCGGAAGTCACACCCTGCTGCTCTTTGTGGTGTAACAAGAGGCTGACCTCCACACCCAGGAGCCCCTGACACAACTCCACAGGGGCTCCCTCCCGAGACCCCTTTCACTGCCCCTCTTAGAGGCTCCCACACGTCTTGGCCATCAGCGGCTCTCTAAGAACCTGTCCCTACCTGTCGTTTGCAGGCAGTGTCCCAAGTGCGGGATCTTTCCACTCTTTTCCATCTTGGCCAGATTTACCTGTTCTGTGTTCCATTTCTTCAGCACTCTGCTTTTTCCCAAGGGACAGTTCGGGTTTCGATGAACAAATCCCTACTGGTAGGTTGAGGGGGGCCAACGAGCTCTCTTGTTTATGTATGCTCCATTTGCAATCTTTTGGAGACAATGCTTTCTTTTCTTTTCTTCTTTTTTTTTTTTAACTCCAAGATGAATCTCAAAAAGTAATGGCAACTCGAACAGGTACTCGTCCATCCATGTTCACAACAGGCAAGAGAAGGAAGCAACTTGAGCGTCCGTGGAGGGAGGGATAGATGGATGAACTCCTGTGGTCCATCCACACAATGGAATGTTCTTCAGCCTTCAAGTGGAAGGCAGGGCTGATGCCTGCTACCACATGGATGAACCTTGAGGACATGACGCTGGGTGAAATGAAGTGGTCACAAAAGGACAAATCCTATAAGATAACACTTTTTTTTTTTTTTTTTTTTAAGATTCCACTTCTGTAGTCAGAATAGTCAAATTCATAGAGATAGAGAGTAGAATGGCGGTTGCCAGGGGCAGCCAGGATGGGGGACTGGGGGCTCAGGGTTTGATGGGGACAGAGTTTCAGTTTGGGATGACAGAACGTTCTGGAGGTGGATGGTGGTACAACGTGAACGTCCTGGATGCCGCTGAACTGGCTAGAACGTGGCTAAAACGGTCAGTTGTGTGTTCTGTATACTCTACCACCATAACGAACTGGTTAAAGTCAGTCGTGGCCGGGGTGGGCACTTGTGGGGTGGGCAGGCCATGCTCTGCCTGGGCAGGACTCCCTGCCCCCTGCTGCCACTCAGGAAGAGACGCTGCACCGATGGAGGAGGCCGGGTTGCCCCACCTGGGGGCTGCGGGCCCTGGAGTGGGTGGGAGGGGCAGGCCTCTCATCAAAGTCTCCGGCAGAGAGAGGGGTGTGGGCGGGCTGGGGCAGGCAAGCCACCCGCGCCCTCGGAACAGCGAAATGTGTTTCTTGGATGAGAATCCAAGGCAATTGTGCGAGCCCACACAGTGTTTGTTCGGAAGCTAATGCATTCCTGTCCTATTGTCTCTGCCGGAGACTTGTTGTGGGCACACCCATCATATCCTCCCTCGGGGAGAGGCCAAGGTGCTCGCAGTCAGGCTGTGGGAGGCCCAACAGCGACGAGGGAGACAGACTGCTTGGTGGGAGCATCC